AAAATCCTGAAATTGAAAACAAAAATTTTTTTTTGGAAACAAAGTTTTCAATTATTTATTTTAAATGTGTCAATTAAAAAGGGATTCAAAAATAAAACTTAAATATTATGATTTGAACAATTGCTGTGCTTTGCTTAACTAAAATTAAAGGATTTATCAAATTCGTTTAATTTAAATCAAATCTTTTTTTTAATTTAAATCAAAAAAAAATCAAGATTTAATAAAAAAAAATCAAAATTTAGATCAAAATTTAATTTAAATCAAATGTTTTTTATTAAATCAGTTTTGATCTTTTCATTAAAATAATGAAAATCACACTAAGTAACATCAATTGATAGAAAATTTATGCAAAAGATAATAATCTTTTACCAATACATATCAAAGATTTTCTCTCATCATTTGAAAAATTTCAATTTTAAATCTCCAACTAATTGTAATGGTAATTGAATGTATATAAAATAATGAGAAATAATGGTACTAAAACATTGGTACTCCAAAAATGTTGTCCAAAGATTCCAGAGATTCTGTATGATGAAAGTGAATGTACGATAAATATTTGAGAATGATTTATAAATATAAATTTGAAAAAAAAGACGATCATTATTAAAAGTATATTCTCAAATGTTTGCAGAAATTCTGAATTCTTTTTTAGTATTTTGAGAAAAAAAAAGGAAATAAACTTGCAGAAAAAATAATAAATACCTGAAAATAATAATATTAGCGATGAACAATATGCGCTCGTTAAAATATTTAGCATTTCCTTCGCAGGTATTATCAGTAGTGATAGTTATCATGATAATCAATATTCCGAATAGACTAATACATGAAAAAATCATAGACGCAATTAATGGAAGCATCCAGCTTTTCCGTTGATGTAAAATACCACCGACGAAGAAACCTATGAAAATGAGCATCAATATTGCGAACACTACCAAAGAATCTAAAAAAAAAAAAAGTATTTAAAAATAACCATAAAATTGAAATAATTTACGTTTAAAATAGTTTGTCACGTACGAATGCTATTTACTTATATCACAGTATTATGAAAAAATGATAATTTTCAGAAATTCCATGAAATTTTTTGTTGACGAAGAAGCTATAGATGCTGTTCTTAACAAACCCTGACCATTAAATCACTTATATGTAAATTTTCCATCACTACGATTAATCTTCTCTTATCGTAATTCTACAAAATCACGGTAATCATGAATGAGTATGTTATGGAAACTAACATTTCAACCAAATGTTGAATTTCCTGTTATTGGAAGCATTAACAATAATATATCCCACAAATAGTAGTGTCAATACTGCTGTTATCACTGCACTTGCTATTGACACTGCAATTATGCATTCTCGAAAAAGTAGAAATTTGATTAATTTAAAATTAATTATCTCTGATAATTACTGTTCCATAGTTAAGTTTGAAATTTGCAAAAATTTGTCATTTTCTGTAATTTTATTTTTCAAAATTTTTTTTTATTTTCTACATTTTTCATTTTCCGCATTTTGCAAACCAGTGTCCTACATACTTGTCATATTCTTACATTTTTGCTTTTAGATTTTTAAGCTAAATATGAATTTGTTGAAATTAAATTTTATTTTCAATCTTATTACTTACCAGTATTAACTCTAAAATGGTAACATTTTGGATGGATAATATTCGAACTTGTTGGTATATCTCTCAATTGACACATGTCAAAAGAAGACTTATCACGAATAAACTGGTCCTTTTTTACGTCATCGACGCACGTATCCGTAGAATATAATGGATTAATCGAATTACTTAGTGGTAGGTATGGTTGCAAGAAATGTTGAATATCTTCGTTGCTCAGAATTTCTAAAATGTTCATAAAATAGCTATAACGCTATCATATTTAGGAATTACAATAATTAATGAACTAATATTTTTGGTAGTTATAAGATTTTATGGATTAAAGAATTAAATTGACAATCTTTCTGTTTTCTTCAATTATACATTCACTTTAATTTACTAAAACCCACTAGTATTTGTAAATTTTCGATTAAATATTGTTGAAGAAGGAAATTTCTTGGTGAAATAAATTTAACACAATCAATAAAATGTAGAAAAAAAGGTTAAAATTTCAATATCAATTAGTAGTTAAATAAAGAAATTAGTTAAAAATCAACCAATCAATACAAAAAATATTTTTACTTTTCGTAATTCTCAAAACATACGATGCTTTGGTTCGAATTCATGAGTTCTATTCTCAAAGATATCTTCGAAAGGAAAGCTGTTATCTGAAGCATTGATTGTATCACTACTGCTACCATTTGTAATCAGCTTCCTTGAACTATTTCCGCTTTTTCCGATCATTTTACCACAATAACCTAAATTCAAATCTTTTCGCTACTAATTCTTTCGTATTTTTAACAATGAAATATCGGAGAGAATTTTTTTCGACTTTACTTGTTAAAAGTTGAAATGCCTCAAGGTAAAAATAGATGAGCCTGTGAATCACAAAGTTCCTTATTTGGCCAAGTACCACAAAAGAAAACTGAAGTATAGCTGGATGAGGTCGCAATAAAATGACATATTTAATAGTCAACTGAAATCAACTGAAACATATTTGACAATTGGCTGAAACTCATTGTAGAAGGTTATTGATGTATCGATAAAGAGATCAACATGGCTTTACAATAAACTTGGAGTTTATAGTGTCATTTCGTCACTCCAAAAGACAAGACATAATGCGCTAGTTGTACAACAACATTACTTCCTGATTGCTGATTATTAAATTACTGGACTTCGGACATAAATAAAGTATCGAAGAATTAATGAGTGGGCCAATTTGGTATCTGCAAATTAGTTTCGGTTCAATTAAGACCAATAAGTTATTTAACATGAAAAAATTACCGTGAATTTAAGTACAGAGATTACATGAGTCTGTTTTTTTAATTATAGAAAATTTACCCATAATTCTTTTTTTTTTTTCAATCTACAATGATCGTATTGCAATAAAATCAATAATTATAAAAAGTTAAAGTTTTGATAGAGAAACTGAATTCTAGCAATTTGAAAAATGTGTCGGAATATTCGTTGAATAAATTTAAGTTTGATTTTAAACCAAAATAACCCAATAGACTATTCACTGTTAATACAATTAAGAGCTGTAAATGGATGGTTGAAATGAAAAGGATGGGTACAGTGTCCGGTCCCTATTCATGCTTGTCCGATCACAATGAAATAGTTTTAATTGAAGAAATATTGTAATTTTACCTTAGACCGGTAAATGAAGTGCTGTTTAAATGATGCTGTGATGTGGATGAGGACAATATTAACTAAATAAAATGCTGAGAATAAGAACAGAAATGATTGTGAAGCGTTAATTGAGTTCATCGACAAATGACACAAATTAGTGATTGTTCATTCGTCCGCATTCAATTATTCGTGCTTATTTATCTATCATTTAGGTTTATTCAAGTCTTTATCCTTTTAACCGTAAACATTATGAAAAATGACAAATGTCCTCTATTTCAACTTTATGGTTTGATTCATTTCCAAATTAACCTCTATCGCCCTTAGCACTAGTTTTGAGCATAAATGTGAATATTTAATGAAATAAAGTGGGAAAATTGCACTATTCCTAAGAATATTCGAAAATTTTCTTGTTTTATGAACCTGTTCTTGATTAGTGACAGTAAAAATAAGATAGCTAAGTGTCTCAAGGCTAAATATCTTAGGAAGGCATGGAACAGTGGAAGCACATAAGACAACTTCAATATTTCCCACTATTTATTCTCAATGCTCAGTAAAAGGAATCAGTGAAATTTGTCTTCCAGACGAAAAAATTTAAATTTCTTGTTTGGTTTTATCTGGAAAATGTTGTAGTATTACAGTAATTTTTGTACTTCGCATACATAATTTGCTTCGCTTAATTGGATGAAACGCCCATGTAAGAAAAGAATTCAATTGGTGGAACGGTCGCTGATCAAAGGATTTACAAAGACTGTCCGTACATGTTCGTTCATTTTTGTTTGTTTCTAGTAGAGGAATTTAAGGGATCATTTTGCATCATTGTTTTACTCAGTGATTTGCCTAGCTTGTTACTTTGAAACTCTACAGTTATTATTATTCGCAATTTTCATTATTTTCGTTTTCATTATTTTCATTTTATTTTCAATTTTCGTTTGTCATACTCTCAATGTTTGCATGCCGTCTTTTCTCAAATATATTCCACTAAAAGTAATCAGCTT